CCAAGAACATCCCATTGCTGCAAGAGGGACGTGGGGCAAACCTTCCTCAGATTGATGTCAGAGATGGATAAATGACCTCAAGAAGCACCTCACTGAAGCCACTATTTTATCTAGGACTGTAACAATTACTCGGATTAATCCTGATTAATCAATTATTTAAATAATAGTCAACTAATTTATTCATCGATTAATCATTAACTGGAGTATAGAGGCTGTAAAACATGTCTTCAGCTGACAGAGCAACCCACTCAGAGCAGTAATTATACCAAAATTGTAAAACTATATAGAAATATTTTGCATTTAAGATAAAAAAAAAAACTTTTTCATCCGTCAAAATGCTCTATCCAGAACTCCTGAAGTAGAAATGTTCTAGTTTCACCTGGTTTAAATCTGTAAAAAGTCTTCTTTACAGAACCTTTTGCTATCCGATTATTAATCAATTAATCAAAAAAATAATCGTCCGATTAATTGATGACCAAAATAATCATTAGTTGCAGCACTTATTTTATCCAAAGGAGATATGATTAGCTATTAGAGGGCAGTGTGTCAGTTTTACTCATTGGTTATACATTTTCTTTTTACACAGTGTTACATTTAATACAATAAAACTGAGCTTTTTTCATAAGAAAACTCATATTTATCTGAGATAACTTTTTTTCTCATAACTGTATAAATATTTGAAGCAAAACTGCAAGTCTTAATCCCCATTGAGCCACAGTAGAAAAACTAAAGGATTAGCACAAGAATAAACAACACATGTAGCCCAAATGGCTAGGGTTTATTCAGGACTTCCTCTGATTTATTCATTCAACAGCCATTAGATCAACTTCAGTCTCGTTGGAAAAGTTTAATGACAGGAAAATATTCAGTGCAGCTCCTTGATAAGGGGGGCTTTCAGGGACGTGCACTTTAAGGTCTCAGAAGTATATGTGTGATCTTCTCTGTCTGTCCCTGCTTGCAGTGGAGTAACACTACGGCTATTTGAAGCGTGAAAAGAAAAGCCTTGAAGCTGAGGTTGTTGCTCATGCAGAAGGACATGATTGAGGGAGGGGAAGGTGGAGGTATAATGGAGAGGAAAAAAGCTGAAAGATGAAAAGATTTCATGGAAGTTAGGATCAATAGGTAGAAAATGATGTGTTTTTGTTCTTTTATGTTGGAAATATAAGCATACAGCTCTATCTCTATTATCTATTAATGTTTTATAGTACGAGTTTGGACTGTTTAGCTGTTAAGCCGTATTTAATGTTCTATCTACCCTGTTGAAATGCTTTTTTTGTGTGTTCTGGATCTAATTCCTAGTAAACATGCAGTTATCAAATATGTGGTGATATATACAATTCACTCAATGGGAGAAGAATCCAATGGAAGGTACATTTTACTGCAGGGAGATGAAAACTAATTTTTAGCATTCAGTCTTTCAGCATGCCTCATCTTGTCTTACTTATATGTTCCACTCTATCTTAAAAGAGCTCTTCAAATCCAGGTTGTGAGGACATCCTTTGATGAATGTAATTGTATGTGGATCTCTGTGAAAGTGTGTTTCATTCTCCTGACAGATTCCTTTCACAACCAAATCACTCTGACCTCTCTGTATATTATAGGCTTAATTGAAAAATGTCCCATAAGGAATCTCAAGTTGGTCAAACTCACTAGAATTTAAGGAATTGAATTCAAGGAAACTAAACACTCACAAAAACATTTTATCCAAATTCTATTATTTATGTAATTACATTAAAAATTCCCTTTTCTTTCTTAGATCATTTTAACCCAAACATATTGAATAAACCTGACATGATGTATATCATTTAGTTTAATGTAGCTTATTTATTTAATGATTTATGATGAATGAGCATGAAGCTCATTAAGTAAATCCTTTACATCGCAAAACAAAATAGATTCTTTGAGTCCCAAAGCCTTGGTTGTGACCCACACTTGGGTTCATTGATCAACCAGTATGGGATCCACAGCATAAATGATGCACAAACACTGAAAACTTATGTTAAAGTGTTTCTAGATTTAAAAGCATGATTTAAAATTGAGGGCTGCTCCGTGGAGCGGTGGGTAGCAATGCTGCCTTGCAGCAAGAAGGTTCTGGGTTTGATTCCCAGCCTGGGGTTTTTCTGTATGGAGTTTGCATGTTCTCCCTGAGCATACGTGGGTTCTCTCTGGGTACTCTGGCTTCCTCCCACAGTCCAAAAACATGACTGTTAGGTTAATTGGATTCTCTAAAATTCTCCTTAGGTGTGAATGGTTGTTTGTCTCTGTGTTGCCCTGTGATTGACTGGCGACCTGTCCAGGGTGTACCTCACCTCTTGCCCATTGACGGAGAGGAATGGAGGGGCACCAGCATCCCTTGCGACCCCACTTGGGATTATGCGTGTTCAGAGATGGATGCTTAGATGGAGCATGAAGCGACAGTGGAGAGGAAAAACTACCGGTTGAGATGAGGGAACTCAGTAAGAGTTTGGGAGGAATTACACTCTGATGGGGACGAGGTTGAAGAAGCACCATGGAAAATCCAGATGGAGCTAAGCCAAGATGGTGGAGAAGGGGATGGAGGTGATCTACTGTAAGTCAAAATCTGACATTAGAAACTACTGCTTCTGCTTAGGCTGAGTTGAGGATTTGAAGACCTTTTAAGATGAACTCCGGATGCTGATTGGGCTTCGTGGAGGTGCGGTTCAAAGCGGATTGGCTCACGAGGCAGATTAGGGTAAGTAATTTAGATTCTTCTGCCTAGGCTTCATAATAATCAGGTTTCCTTCATGCAATTCAAACAATAAACTTTATGTATTTGAAATTAAAACACTCATTAGTATTCATTTTGAGTAGTAAACTTTATTAATACTAAAATAAAATAAACTGGATGACTATGTATTTCAAATAACTGTTTTATTAAACAAATGAATGTGAATCATTTAAGGTTTATTTTTTTAGGTTTGAGCTACATTTTTTCAAAGAAAATAAAAAGGAATTTGTTATGTAATAAGTGTACATAAATCTTAATTTTTTTTGTGAGTGAACACTGACTCTGAATCAAATGTGCTTTAACAATGTGTTGATATAGAACTTAAATTTTCTAGATAAATTTTCCTGAAAAAAAAAGTTTTCCTAGTTTAATCGTACGCCATAAATGATGCATTTTGGCTGGGTTGTCAGCTCTTCTTTCGGCACCATGGCAATAATGATAATTGCAGTATTATCTTTGATAAAATATACCTGTGAAATTTTTAATTTTGAACGATGCCTAAAAAGCAAAAGTGCATTCAACTCCTGTATCTAAATTAGGACAAATTAATAAAAATTATTGCATTCCATAAACACCTATTTTGTGTTTTTATATAGTATCTATAACCTCTTGCGTATCACAGAAATTCCCCTATGTATTGTTTGCAAATTTCCTTGTAATGAACACAATCCATTTCCTCTGCAATCATAACTCATGGCCATGACTGATGACTACCTTTTTTTCAACATCTCAAATAAACTTCCTATTTTTGTCATTCCTAACTTATACATAAAGGTTATTGTGGTTTCTATACAACGATATACCACATCTTTAAACAGGTTTTGCTGGATTTACAGATGAGTAACCGCTCACACATGCTCAGAAAACAGGCCAAAACTGAGGGGGTAATTGTTTCCAAGCTGCTCTTTGATGGCTGAGTCAGTGAACATATCCTCTATCATATCATGATAAGAAGAACATCGGTTTAAAGGGAGCAGCTGTTTTCCTTTCATCTTCTCCCCCCTCTTCTTCTTTCTGCATCTTTCTATCCACCCACTGCTTTCACGATGCTGCACTAAGCCAGGGAAGATAGGGCAAATCCCTCCTCTGAGCAGAGGCACCAAAGACAGAGAAAGCAGAGAGACAGAGGAGGAGGAAGAGAGCTGTGAGAGGACACACTTCTCAAATCTGTCCTTTCTCCCCCTTCATTTATCTTAGTCCAGCCAACCGACTTACTGTTGCCAAATGCATGCTGTTGTTTGTGCAGTTATGTGGTGGCCCTTCCACCAACCTGTGGTGATGTTATGAAAACTCTGATTCATACATTTCTTACTCCTTTCTGAACTTTCTCGGATAAACATAAATTACCTTCTCTATGTTTTGCCTTTAGCACAACAACTAAACTAAGCTGTGCCAAGCCGAGGACACACTTTATATAATTATACAGTTAGTGTCTTAACTCAAAGGTAGGCATTTTTGTGGCAATTCAGTCAATAGTATTTGTTTGTGATTTTAATCATTAAAAACATAATATCTATGTAAAAAAATGATAACCATAATCAACACTGTCGTTATTTTCAAGACTTTTAAGGCATCAATAACTGAGCATGTTTTATCTGCAACATAAATATCAAGAAATCCTATATGTCAGACACACTGCGAGTTGGATTGAATGAATAAATCATGCTTTGTCTCCCTCTAGTGGATTCTTTAGGTTGTACATCACTAGACCCTTTTTATCTCCAGTGTGAAAACAGGTGCACTGCTACGTTGAAGGATGATGCTGCATTCAGGGAAAAAATGAAAACAACATTCCCTTGTCCGCTGGGTAATGGCATAAACTAATATTAGAATGTGGTGAGTTTTGAAGTAAAGCTATAATTTAAATGCTCCTTTTTTCAATTAACACTCGGTGATATATCGTTAATTACAGAAAAATACTTTATTTCTGTTCGTATATGCTAATATTTTAACAAGCATTATTTATTCATTTATTGGGTAAACCTACTTCTAAAAAGTCTACAAAGTTTAGTAAAAAAAAAAAACGAAAAAAGGAAAATGCAGCCCTTTGATGCTCTTTCTTGTTTGTTTATTCAAGTAAAATAAATTGTGTTCGTTGGAGTTTTAAAATTTGTAAAAATGTTTGTGTAGACCTGAGCGTTACTCTAAATTCCCAGTTTAATTATTACTGACTAAGGTTCTACGGAGTGTAAGTGAACGCAGCACGGGATGGTGCTTGCGCTCTGCTGACGAGCCGTTGGTTGTGGAAACAGCTGGTTGTTTCAGTCAGCGAACTCCGCTCGGGATTGAAAGCGATTTAGTGCAAACGAAAGTTAAAATTAGAATTGAAGCTGAATGAAAGCAGTCCGGGTTGGGTCCCCGCACCTGTTCCGACTGAAACCTGGAGATGTCACCCTGTTCGAACTACTCTAAATCCGGCAGTTAGAGTGAATTAACTACCTAGCTTTTTAGCGGCGCAGACCACCAAACTGCTGCTGCTAACGGCGGCTAACCCCTCTCCTCCCCTTTAACTGCCACCAGTGTAGTTTTTTTTTTTTTGCCAAATGAGAAGCGCTGCCAGCTGCTGAGCTTCTTAACAATCCAAAAAAAAAGTCAGGTTTGGTTTGTTTTCAACATGGCTCATATTCATTATAAGTTTTCGTCCAAACTGAGCTACGACACGGTGGTTTTTGACGGACCGAACATCTCGCTGACTGACTTGAAGAAGCAGATCATGGGCAGGGAGAAGCTCCGAGCCGGGGACTGCGACCTGCAAATTATAAACGCACAGACCAAAGAAGGTAATAAAAAAAAAAGCACAACATAAGTTTGATATGTTTTATTTGTTGCATTTTCCTAACAGTTAAAGTTTGAAAGAAAGCACGTGGGTCAGCATTGACAGCTGCTTTCCAGTCACCCCTGTTTTTTCAGGTTGACTGGGGGGACAAAAGGGGTGTAATGAATGGACAAACATTCCTGCTGCTTTCACGCCTCGTGTCGCATAATTAAACCTCCTGACATGGGTGAATCGGTGGTGTCAGCTCTGCCATCCTGCAGGAGGTGTTGGTTTTAAACACTATGCATGACCTAAGGGCTTAATTTCAGCCCCAGACATATAAGTCACCATGCAGACATAAAGGGGAGAGGTAAAAGGTTCAGAGTAAACCTGCTTAGTCTTTGTCAGCAGTCTGCAAATGAGTTTAGAAATCCATCATAAGCTATTTAAAGACTTTTCCTCTGAAAACACCCCAGCACAGGGGAGATACACCCTTTGACTGGAGATGCAGGGATTAAAATGAAATAACTGCATACAAAAGTGTCTACAATGACTTGAAGAAGGTAACCACATCTATTTTCTTTAATAAGTGCAATTAATTGTGAGAGGTGAGATTACTACATGGCAAGGATTTCTTGAACACATATGAGAGACATTTGCATTGTGTTTAAAAGCTGTACAACTTTCTGTTTGTCTATTAGATGCAGTTTGTGGCTGCAAGTTGGCAAAATGTGGAAAGGTTCAAGGTGCATGATTACTTTTCAAAAGGCATGCACTGCAAGGTGTCCTAAGCAGCTGTTTTGGTTTTGTTAGTGTTCTAATTTCATTGCATTTTCCTGGGTGACAAAGCTGCTGATTTGTTAAGAGGGAAATCACTTTAATTGAAAATCTTCCTACTCTTTCAATCTGGAAAGAAAATCGAAATAAAGAGGCACATATTTTGGCTTCCCTTACACCTTTTTTATTGTTCTACATGTCAATAAAGGTAAATTCCTGTTTTAAACCATGTCCCTCGTAGAAATCCCCGTTTGTCTGACGGTTAAGGCATATTTTATGGTTTTATCCATCATATTTCTCCTTTTTTTTTTTATCTAAATACTTTTACAGTGAAAATGTTTTGGCCCAATATTCATTTTAATAACTGTTTTTTATTTTAATGAATGCTCATTCTAGTAGGAATGAAATTTCTCTATTCTAGATAACCACCATCACAACTATTGTTTTAATGATATACATGCCGATAAAAGATGATTGCAATATATGGATTTTTAAATTGGTAGAAAATTAAGATAAAAAAAAAAAAGAACAGGATTCAAGAAGCTATCCCTGATCCTGCACAGGATGAGCCATAAGCCCCGCCCCATGAGAAACCCTGCTTCTTTCTGACATGCGAAGAAGGGCTAAACACTCCTCAAGCTCATGCATAATTTTCCAAAACATTTTTATAGTTAAAGTAATGCAAATCCTGATCCATAACATTAGGAATATGGAGATCTGAAATTAACTTCTAGACATTCAGAATGTTTATTCTAAATTTGGAGAATGTAAATTTGTTTGAAATGGTAATTTAGACAAAGAAAAAACGTTTTTGTTTTTTTCAGATATCAGGAATACATATTCAGTAAAACTAGTACATATCAAAATGGCTTGCCTTAGCGTGTTGTGACCGCGATAATATTATGGGATCATTGGTAGTAGGGCATTGAACCTGCTGCTTGGTTAATCCCGTTAAAGACATAACTCATTTAGATAATATCCAAATGCTACTGTTTTGCTTATTTAACACTTTTATTCGTTATTCTGTGAATCTTTGCTTAACTTAGTGTAGTTTCAGGATGAGATTATTTTATTTAACTCAACTGGACGAATGTGATTAATAATTGTTTCTCATCTTCACATGTCAGCAGTCATGGCACTGCTGTTGATCCTCAACAATTAAATAAACTAAAAATGGAGAAAATAGTCCATCAGCAAAAGGTATTGAATTTATTTTCAATACAGAAACAATACGTTTTCTTCAGATCTTTGAAAATCACCAAACAAAATACTGAAGGCCTTTCCTGTTTGTTGATATCTATCAAAAATTAAGATAAAGACCCCTTTATGTAAGCTTTACCTTTTGTCATATGGCGTATTTTTATTTTTCTCTAAGACTAGTCAGAACAATGATACCATATTAATTAGTATTTTCTAAAATGTGTTTTCCTTCAATGAATATTTAACTCAGGAGAAATTGTATTTTAAAATAAGATGATATTTAGACTCTGTAGGTCTTTGCCTAATGCTGTCACGGATTTTAGGCAACCAGAGTAACCCTGAGATGAGAGCTCGGGACTGCTGCTGAAGTTGTTCCAGTTCACTAATGGCCTCAGGCTTTCACTGTTTTTGAGGTATTCAAAGGACCCTTTCTACGTGGGCAGGGTTCTTTAGAGGATGTAGCCCCTATGTCATAGATTCTGAGTGCAGGTCTATTATCTGTGTGTTGGAAATAATCCCCTAACCTGATGGTCGACAATGGCAGTAGGGGATACAGTCAAGTTGAAGGAGTCAAATTGAGTGTGGTTGGCTTGTAGTGCTCCTTAGGCAGCAATTGGGTACTGTTCCAAGCATGCCCAGGTCGTTACAGGGGTGAAAACTTCTGGCAAAATGTCTGGCCGCCTCAGATGGGACAACCAGTGTTTTGCTAAAGCTTTTTACAGGTTTCTTGCCAGCTCGTGACCGCTAAGCTTGAAATTGTTACTGTAAGGCTGATATTAGTTAAGTACTTTTTTTTTTTATGAGACGTTAGGGCTCTGTCTCAGGTTTTCTGTGTTAAAATTAAGCTAAAACTAGGCAAATATGCTGAATTTTAATGAGTGTAACAGCCATGCAAAATGTCTTTTTTAACCCTTTATGACCTACCATAGAACAAATCCTCCAAGGTATATTTGTATGTTTTTACATTCTACAGAGCCTTTTTTTTAAAGCATTTAAATATGCAAGACCTTATTACAACAGTTACATTGCAAATTTTAATTGTTTGTATGAAATAAGTCTATTTTAACTTAATCAAATCCCAAAATGTGCAAAATTATGTGCCTGGTTCTGCCTTTTTGTAGTATATCTGTTTAAAAAAACAACAGTATACTATATTTTAAATCAATGCAAATGGATCATAACCAATAAGGTCTCAGAAGATGGATACGACTCATGAAACAGCAGACAGAGACTAGAAGTTTGCAGTTGCGAGTACTTTGTATTTATAGTGAGGAAAATTATATACATATTTACAACATTAGTGAGACATCCAAAGTGCTTGGTCTAGTGCAGGTCATGGACTGGCAAAAGTCAGAGCAGAGTGGAAACAAAATTGTTCGTTGTCTGCAAGGAGCCTCCTACCAGCCTGGCAGGAGATCCAAAGTCTTCATGCACCCAAA